GCTTCTGTTTCTCGGTATTTAAATTGGTATTTAATACCTGCCCCGGTGAGATTTTTTGAAGTGATAATCGTCTACATTCTGCAAACGCAACATGATAATATGTTCATTTGCGACTGATTTTGAACAGGCGAACGCGGCGTTGGGACAAGAAACGTTTTGCAACAGAAAAAGACCTGATTTGGCATCATTTTCTGCGAAAATTGCTAGTATGCTTACGTTTTTAGTGATCTTTACCTAAAGCAAGCAGCATATATTAGATAAAAATCGATAGATAGGAGCTTGTCCGCATAAATTTAAATACCCATTGAATACCGAGATACAGAAGCTTAAAAGCATCTATTGAATGCCATCTCTTAGTATGATCAAATTAACATGGTGAGAGTCAAACAAGCTAACGATTGTCTTCTTCGATTGCATGATTGTCAACTCCGATGAGGACCAAATCATTTATCCATCCAAGAAGATTTTTTTCGAGCAACAATTCTTGTAGCGAAATCACTCATAAAGTGATTTTAAATTACAAAAAATTGATTGAATAGTAATGTTATGAATGAGTTTAAACAATTGATTGCCATTCCAAAAACTTTCCCCTATATAACAAGTAACTACCGGAATTTACAGAACAAATATCTAGTGAAATTATGTATGACAGGTCGTTTCATGTGGCGTAATGGAGTGATGTTGAATAATAAAGTAGTTTATTATGAAAATGAAAATTTTCTTCGTGAGTGTGCGGCCGTACAGAAAATGACGTTGGATGCTATACTTTAATATAAACTATGACCGTCCATCATCTCCGAGCAAAAACTTTTAAAAATAGGCTAGCACATGGCATTTGCGTAATATCTTTTTGTTAAATAATCACCTACACAGGTGACATTTTTTGAAGTGATAAGCGTCTACATTCTGCAAACGCAACATGAAAATATGTCCATTTGCGACTGATTTTGAACAGGCAAACGCGGCGCTGGGACAAGAAAGGTTTTGCAACAGAAAAAGACCTGATTTAGCTTCATTTTCTGTGAAAATTGCTACTATGCTCACATTTTCAGTGATCTTTACCTAAAGCAAGCAGCATACATTAGATAAGAACCGAGAGATAGGAGCTTGTCAGCATAAATTTAAATACCTATTAAATACCGAGAAACAGAAGCATGGAAGCATCTATTGTATGCTATCCCTTAGTATGATCAAATTACCATGGTGAGATTCAAACAAGCTAACGATTGTCTTCTTCGATTGCTTGATATCTAACTTCGATGAAGACCAAATCAGTTATCCATTCAAAAATATTTTTGTTGTGCAACAATTCCTGTAGCGAAATCACTCGTGAAGTGGATTTAAAGTAAAAAAAAAATCAAATGAATAATAATGCTTCAGATGAATTTAACAATTGATTGACATTACGAAAACCTTCCCCCATATAACGAGTGTTTACCGGAATTTACAGAACCGATTTCTAGTGATGTTATGTACGCAATGCGGCAAGGTCAATTGATGTGATGAATATGGAGTGATGAAAAACAAATTAGTTTATTATGAAAATTAAAAGTTTCTTCGTGAGCGAGCGGCCGCACAGAAAATAACATTGGATGCTAAACTTTCATATAAATTCTAACCTGGCCTCATCTCCGAGCAATCACATGGCATTTGCGTAATATCTTTTTGTTAAATAATCACCTACACAGGTAACATTTTTTTGGAGTGATAAGCGTCTACATTCTGCGAACGCAACATGGAAATATGTTCATTTGCGACTGATTTTGAATAGGCGTACGCGGCGCTGGGACAAGAGAGGTTATGCAACAGAAAAGGACCTGATTTAGCATCATATTCTGTGAAAAATGCTTCTATGCAATTTTCGAGTCGAGGGCGAGTCGAGTCGAGTCGCGTCGAGCCGAGTCGAATCGAGTCGAGAGGGCGAGTCGAGTTGAATCGAGTCGAGTCGAGGGCGAGTCGAGGCCGAGTCGAGTCGAAGCGCGTCGAGTCGAGTCGAATCGAGTCGAGTTGAATCGAGTCAAGTCGAGGGCGAGTCGGGTCGACTCGAGTCGAGTCGAGTCGAGTCGAGTCGAGGGCGAGTCGAAGGCGAGTCGAGTCGAGTCGAGGTCGAGTTGAGTCGATCCGAGTCGAGTCGAGGGCGAGTTGAGTCGAGGGCGAGTTGAGTCGAGTCGAGTCGAGGGCGAGTCGAGGGCGAGTCGAGTCGAGTCGAG